CAGGCCACAGCCATGATGGCGACCCACGGTGGAGCCGACGGAGGGAGTAGCCATGGAGGAAGAATGGCCGCCGACTCCAGGGGGCCGACCAACGGTGGCAGAGCAGGTGGTGGAGGAGCCCGAGGCGTAGACGGAGAGCCAACGAACCAGGGGGATGCCGAGGATCCGGGGGGCCAGGGTGGAGCCGAGGGCTCTGGCGACCGAGGTGGAGATCCGGAGATCCGTGGCGGAGCCAGAGTGACTGAGGACCAAGATGGAGGTGGTGGGAGGAAGGAGCCGAGGTGGAGCCGCTGGATCTACGGGCCGAGGCGGAGTCCGGACCTTGGAGGCTGGAGGCGGAGGTGAGGGATTCTCCAGCCATGGCGACGCTGGAGGATGGCATTGGCTCTCCGTCATCGGTGGGCTCGGGCTTTAGCTCCGCACAGCGGGGAGATGGTGGGCTGGGCTCTGGATCCAGAGAGGATCTGGCGAGATCATCCTCGGGAGTGACAGTGAGAGGTGACCCGTTTCTCGCCCGAATCTACTCCACAAGTGCGCCGAAATCCTCTCGAGTACCATCTTCGGACGATGGCGCTCTGCACTCGATGTTTAGACTGGCGTCGTAGAACGCACAGAGCGCGTCATCCGGGTAGCTGGTGGTGCTTGCTAGCAGCGGGAACAGTCTAGTATGGTCCTCGAGAGCTTTGTCCCCCTGCTCCAGCAGGAGGAGGAGGTATTCGGGGCGAAGGTTAGGTCTTCTGTCACGCTACGCTGTTGAGGGAACACGCTGGAGTCACGAGGAAACGTTTAACAGTCTTTAATCAAGAAACACAGGAGATAATCCACAATGGGAGCTTGAGCCAACACACGTAGAGAACGAGTGGACCTGACAAACACAAACACAAACTGAACAGACTAGGACTTTTAAACACAGGGCAATCAGGGGAACACAGGGGACATCAATGGAACATAATCAAACTAAACGAGGACAGGAACTTGACCAAATAAGGCAAAACAGGAACTGAAACACATGACAAAACAGGTCCAATCCTGACAAATGAGACAGATGATGTGCGTTTCAGAGACGGTGTGACTCAGCCAGACTTTTGCACTAAGAGCACACGTTAGAGTGCATGACAGCGAGCCCTTTGTGGCCAACTCTCTTTCTTACCGTAACACCAACGCACAGCAGCTCTGCCTCTTCAATTAATGAAGAGGAGAAGAGTCATGCCACACTTAGTCACAATTCATTCCCATCTCATTCTGATGAATTCACCAGCAATGCTATACCTTTAATGATGGAAACTGTGGCACCATAATAGACACTGGATGTGAACACACTAAAATGACAATAAGGGTGCTTGCACACTACAGGAAGCTCTGATGGAGCGTTTGACGGATGCAAAAGTGCATGATGTGTTTTGAGGCTGTGGAAAGAGTTGGAATCAAGCAGGAATACAACAGACTAGATTTTGGAAAAGCACAAATGGGCTGTTTAAAATTCTCATTGACAATGTTAAAATTGTATTAACTTTTGCTTGTATGACAGAGCATCAGCCATGCTTTACTTCTGCAACCCCTACCAACGCAACATAAAGTTACATGATGCACCATGAAGGCATCCTCAAGACAGTACAAGTAAATTAAAAACACAAAACACAAACACAACAAATTGTATACAATGTTGATTCATAATATTCATTAAAAAAACTGTAGCAAATTAGCTCAAAAGGGAAATGTATATAAATAATTACAATTAATTTATGATTAATTACAATTATTTATATCAGCTGCCAGTAGTAACTGTAGCAGAATTAAATTGCCCTCAACTAAGCTGTTTGTCCAGCGAACATTCATTGTAAGTTCATATCAACTCTAGGAAGGAATATTTTCGTGACCACAGAAAATACTTTCATACAGTATTAATGCATTAGAGCATGTAGCGAGGATCAAAATCGTAAAGGGACATTAATTTGCAAGGCAGAATCAGAAACTCATGTAATTTGTGCAAAAGTTTTATTAACTAAACACTAACACAAACTAGTCTAACAAACAAACAAACATACATACACTCACACGTGCATACAAAAGTGGATGAATGAAGCCATTAGAGAAACCAAAGAATGCAGTTATGGAAAATGAGTCAGAACCACCTGAGTAAAATCATCAGCGCAGTTTTAGAATGGGGTCTACAGCTTATACTAAACCTCTGTTTCGTTTAGTTAAATGTACGATACTTGCATTGCCTTGGCCTTGAACAAGCGTCCGGATGCAGTCTCAGATGAAAGTCTTGATGGTTTGAAGGTTCGGTGGTGTAGGAGTCGCGATCGCGTTTTTCCGTGTTTGAAGAGTGATAAACTCCAAAAAGATGTTATTCTGACTCTGTAGTCGCGATCAACTTCTTCCGGGTTTGAAGAGTGATGAACTCCAAAAATATGTTATTCTGACTCTGTCGTGGTCGGGAGAGTTTTCTCCCAGATGAAGGTGATGAAGAGCTAAGAGAGACATCG